ACGAAAATAACGAGGATCTACTGGAGTGAACTCCAGCAATTTGTCTTTAGGAAGCTGCTTAAGTATGTTCATCTCTCCTTGCTCAAGTGTGGGTATAGAAGGAGAGGTGATTTAGGATCTTGTAGAGGATAGTGTTCTGAGTATCACATCTGAAAATTTAATACTCAGGCCGGGGCGGGTGGCTCACGCCTGTAAGTCTAGCTCTTGGGGAGGCCGAGCGGCGGCGGATGCTCAGGTAGCGTATCATAAACGCCTGAGCAAGAGGAACGATCGTTTCTCTACTAAAATAGAAGAAATTATATTGCGCAACGTGAGATATATATTATAAAATTAGCCGAGCATGGTGCTCAGTTGATATAAGTCCCTACTCGGGTAGGCTGAGGCAGAAGGATTGCTCCGATGCCAGGAGTTTGAGTTGCTGTGAGCTAGGCTGACCGCCAGGAACATCTAGCACTGGCAAACAAAGCAAGACTTGTCTAAAAAAAAAAAAATTTAAATATCTCTTAATTAAGGGCAACTGATTATAATGAGAGCTCATGACCCAAAAATAATTTATATGTACTGCCGCTCACATCATGTAGCACATCCACTCCAACTGATCTCTCACAGGTGCTTCAGGTCTAGGACTAATTATCTCATGCAGAAGGTGAATGGTATTGTAACTTATCACATTCATGTAGTTTTAGGTGAATTTAGTCTTGGGGAGTGAGCAGTGGACAAAAGTCTCTGATATTCACTAATGCATCATTTCTTCTGAAATTCTTGAGATTATCCAGTGATGGTGGTAAACTGAGTTTTTTCTTTCCGAATTGTCCAAATTACTGTTTCTTCTCAGTCAGTACTCAAAGTTAAGTGTCTGACATTATTTTGAATATAGAGTTAATGAATTCCAGGGTAATAATGCATTCAGTTCCATTGCTGTTTCATGTACCATTTTGTACTTAGTGGAGGAAATGTTGGCTGATTTTCTTAATTATAATGGTACAGTCACAAGGACAAATAAGTAGATTGCTATTTGGCAAATAGTTTTATATTCGAAATTCTGAAGGTAAGCTGAATGTTTTATATACAATCATAACTCTCTGATCTTTAGCTTTCATAAGTTCATGACAGTGATTAACTTAAGGCTGACTTTTTAAATATCCTCATGGATTTGATGCCTGTCAGGGCTACTTTTGGAATAGGTGTCAAGTCTTGGGCACCTTTGGGATTGAGTAGCCCTTCGCTGATTAAAGCTATACTTGATCAGATTCAATGTCGAAGATTTACTTCTCCACAGCTTCAGAAGAGCTCTGATAATTTTCTTTTACTGGTTCAACGCTCCTGGTGAAGACTCAAACTGTCACCATTCGACACTGCATGATGGGAAGTGAAAATCGAACCAACGGATTTCCTATTGCCACACTGAGACCAGAGACAACACATCACTTACGAGGTCTAGGCCAGGTAGGACCTGGTTGATTTTCCGAGACAAAGCAATAGTAACACAATAAATAAACCTCTCCTCACTAGCATTTCTTATGTTATTCTCTGTAATATATGCCTAGGTTTTTCTGGGCAGATTCTTTTTAGATGACATTACTGACTATAGGATTGTCCAAACTATTTAAAAGACAAATTGTCTTGGGATCTGATTGCTATTATCGCTATTCCTTGTGGAATAAGCAGTCTAATGTAAGTGGTTAAAATACAGTCTGGGGTCACAAACCTGAGTTCAGGAGTCTGGTTCATTCCATTTATTCTAACTCAGAGCTTGAATCTCCTCAGTTTCATGTGTATATCTACTCTGATCAGGGCTGTTGTTTAAGTATTTGAATTTTGTTATACCTCTATGTTAGTAAAATAATTCTCTTTATTTTATGGTGGTCTTAGATGGACAGAGTTGATTATTGTTGATATTTTTTTTTTTAATTCACAGAAGCCATAGTTAAGATATTATATATTCTTCTATATGAGCGTTTAATTCATTCTGCAACGTAGAATTTTATTGAGCATTTCACTATTACATGCAAGAGCAGTGTACAAGATGTATTTATGTCCTAGTCTCTGGACGTACATTTAGTAAGGGAGACAGTCAATAAAACCCATATAATATAATGTATATAATAATATATGTTGGGAGATGGTAATGTCTATAAGAAATGAATGGTATGTTAGGAACATATGGCATTTATGATAAGTTGCTACTTTGGGCGAATAGGATAGTCATTCATTTCCTCTGTGAGTGAGTAACTTTTGGGTAATGGCCGAATGATTGGGAAGGAGGAGCATGTGAAGCTTGTTGTGCTGGGGCTTTCACATAATCTTCTCAGTTATCTAATCCCTACCATTGATTGGAGTGTATGATGATGTTATCGTAATCTCATTTACAGGAAACAGTGAATACATTGGCAGTTAAAAGCCAGTTCTTGTGTGGCTGTGCGTGGCTCATGCGTTAATCTGCCTTTGGAGGCAGCTTGGAAGATTGCTTTAAGGCCAGGAGCTTCTTAGGCTAGCTATGGTAACATAGCGAGACCCTTCTCGTCTCTAACAATTATATTAGTAAATGGTTAGTCTTTGGAGGCAGGCGGCAGTGGCTCACGCTTGTAATCCTAGCACTCTAGGCCGGAGGCGGTGCGGATTGCCGGGTCAGGAGTTTCGAAACCGACTGTAGCAGAGCAGACCGTTCTGTCGTACGGGGATTTTAGGGGGGCAAGAAATATTAAATTGCAGCACTAATTAATTACTCTTATTAGAATAAAACTTAGCTGGAATGGTGGTACATTGCCTGTTCCAGCTACTCGGGAGGACTGAGGAGTTAGTTGTAGCCAGGAGTTTGAGGTTGCGTGTGAGTCTATGGCTGACGCATCGGCAACTCACTGCTAGCTTGGCACTAAAGCGAGACTTGTCTCAAAAAAAAAAAAAGATTGAATCTGCTGTGGTAGCAGCACTATAGTCCAGCTACTCAGGATGGCCTGAAGCAGGAGGATTGCTGCTTGAGTCCAGGGAGTTGGTAGGATGCAATGAGCTGTGATTGCACCTAGTGAATAGCCGCTGCATTCTGTTAGGCAACATAGATGAGAAACCATCTCTTAAATTCAATAAATAAATTTTATAATGAAATAAAGCAATGATTTTGAAGATGATTCTAAGCTGTTTTTGTTGAATTAATTTAAAGAGGGTGGGCTATGTTGACATGAAATATATGTGGGCAGGTCATGGGAGTATTCTTCTCCAGAACTGATGTATACTTGAGGAAATAAAAGAAAGGATAATGTCAGCGAAGAGAGAGAGAATGAGTGAGTAGTATTTGTAGTGAAGGGGATGGAAAATAAAGAAATAGGAATTTTAGATGTGCACACTATTAGCAGAGGATGTAGGAAAGAATTATTGCTAGGTGGGAATCCTTTAAGTTGTCATTACCATGGAAACAAACCCTAAATTGTCATCAAGTTAAGGGAGCTGGTTAATATAAATATCATGGTACATCAATTAAGGAATTCTATAGGACTATTTAAAAAAAGCTTTAATGGGAACACATGTATCGTGATAAATTGTAAGTGAATTTATGGTGCCTATTAGGGAATATCATGCTACTGTTTAGGAAGGAAAGGGATACATAAACAGCAGTGTGTGTAAGAGCTGTGTAATAATAGGCTGTATATTCTATACACTCATCTCTGACTGCGGTATCCCACAACAAGAAGTACAGTGGCCTCTAATGAACGGGAACTGGGACTGTGAGATTTTGGTCAGGAGTGGGAATAAGACATGCTTTTCTATACAACATTTGAAGTTTTTGAATTCCTTACAGCATAAATATCAAAAACATTTTTTAAATTTATTTTTATTTCAGCATTTACAAAGGGTACAGATGTTTAGTTTAATATATTCTTGCCCACCTGAACAGAGTTCACGCTTCAAGATGTCATCCCTAGATGTGTGCATGCATCCACTTAGATGATGAATATACACACTCCCTCCATGCCCCCTCTACCGTGCGACACCCGAGTGATGTTATATATATGTGCACATAAGTGTTGATCAGGTTAATACATGGTGCACTCTGATAAAGGGCTAATTAACAGAATTCTAGATAGAACTCAGAAATCAGCAGAAAAACCAAAACCCTCTGAAAAAGTGGGGAAAGGACTGATGAACAGAAT